GAAATTGCATTAGGTGAAATTTGAGCAGTTAGATGGATTTTTTTTTTTTTGTGGGTAGCGTTAAACAGAAAACAGGCTCCTGCCTTCAGAGTGAGTCCAGAAATTACGTTAAACGAGAACAAATCAATAAAATGGTAATTATTAAAACTCAGCTTGAGGACTTTGCTACAAAGCCACCATTTAAACCCTGCAAAGCATTTTAAAAGTCAAAGAAAAATGATGATAAACATCCTTTTTGCCGAATGAATATGGTCAGAACTGTGGATGTTAGCGTCACAGTGGTGCAGGACGGACTGAACGCACCAAGGTTGAAGCCAAGCTGAGACTGCCAGAAAAGTCAGCAGGCTGTCAAAAAGAGGGAGGAGGGAAAGAAAAAAAGCAAAGGCAAAAAGGACTGACGTGTGTGATTTATGTCTCACGCCACAAGGGATTTCAGCCACTGATAACCTAATACAACTCAGTGCTTAGCAGCTCAATTGCATTACGGCATTTCAAAAGGGTCCTTTTTTTTCTTCTTTTTGTTGCCATTGCTCTTTTGTTCTTTAGTGCTGTGAAAATAGAAAGAGAACATGTCTCTATTGTTCGGCAAGACGGTCACGGCAGAGGAGATAGGAAGTGAAGGGAGAGGAGACAAAAGAGAAGGAGATGCTCCTATTCTCCGGCTTTTAACAGGAGACATTCTCTGAACGGACAGATGTGTTTAAAGTGTTTACCCCATGCTCCAGCGTTCATGCAAAACCGAGTGCAGTAAGCTGTGCCTCACTGCAGTGTTCTGCTGACAGTTAAAGCACTTTCTCTTTGTCTGCAAGCACCGGATGAATACTGTGTGCAGTCATCCTAACAAAACTCTGCCATTTTCAAGAACATGCTAGCAAGAAACACTTTTTTTATCTAATGAAAAATAAATAAACAAACAGTTCTCAGTTTCATTGTTTGAATAATTCAGGTCCTTCCATGTTTCTAAAAAAAAATCTCATTCAAATTGATTGAGGACCCTATTGTGAGGATTCTGGCCGCTTCTCCATCAGCCACACAGGAAAACTGGCTTGGCCTCTTATGGAGACACAGTACAGGAGAGCCTTTTCCACCATGCAGCCCTGACATTAATGAAACTTTATTGAAACGTTTCCAGAGAAACACAGTTGCAGCGAGCACATGCGGCCTCTCTGGGAGCTTTGGGAGAGTGATGTGCCTCCTTTAAAGGCCTACTTAGGAGTCTGAAGAGGTACCTAATCAAATTAATATATTTGCTATGAGGGCGCTGTTTTGCAATCCCTCGCAAGCTGCCGCGGTCCACACACCAATGACGGCCACTTCAGTGGAAATAC